ACTTCTTCGCGTACCAACTGCTTCGTTCTACCTGAAAATCAGACTTTTCACACTCGCAGCGTGCTGGGGACCGCTCGACCTGGCTCCTGAATGCTGAAAACAGTCCTGAATGGTAGCAGAGGTTCAAGATTGCGGTTCGCATCAGCGTGGACTTGCTATCCTGGCAGCTGGAGTGAAGCACGAGCCGCATTCTGAGGCGAAGAACCTAATCCATTATCGTTGACCCTGGGACAGGACCGGAATGAGCCTATGCAGGTAGGTGTTGCATGCCCACAACCAACACCAACATGACAGAGCTCTGTGTCTGCGCGCGTTAAGGAATCCATGTCAAGAACAATCGCTACGAGTGCTGCACAGCACGTGATACAGGTGGCTGCACTTTGCAGGGCCGTCTCCAATAGAATGCTCATTCGTGAATCTTGATGCAAGCAGCAGAATTGACCTGTAGCTTGCTGGTCAGGATTGACCTGCGAAGCGCGATGTAGCGTCAGGCTGTCCGCAACCTGCCAAAGTACTAGTAGTCAAAGTGTGAGCCTGAGTAGACTTTGAGGCGCAGGGCAGCGCATGCACATCATCAATCAAAATGGAAGTCCAGGAATCGCGACATAGGCCTTGTCAATTATTCCAGCCTCAGGAGGAGCTCAATACATACAGAGACTACGCACGTACTTAGCCCCTGAATATGCCAAATGCTGCGAAATCCTAGTGACGGTGCACGCGCTCGATCGGCGATGAGAGTCCTTTTTGACTGCAGAGTATCCAGACACAACACCGATGAAGTTGATCTGAGACCTCTCAGTACCGTCTGACATGGACAAGCAGCTGCGCCTTGGCTGAAATAATTTGGCATTTGCCATAAGTTGCAGCTCTGCTACGGACAAGGGCGATTGAGTGGGCCAGTCATGAGTCTAAGCAGCACAATTGAGCTCCAGCAGGTACAGCGCAACCTCGGCGTCCCAAGGTGGCCTCGCGTTTGCCTCCACAAGCTCTCATGTCTCTCGTTCGCCAAACAAAATATCGCTGATCACGTGTGCCCCGCCGCACGCGCAGATTCTTGATTCAAGATTCAAGATTCCAAGTGATACCTACAAGATTCAAATCACGAATTGCATATTGCTGTTTGTCCTTCGTTCTTGTACGTACTCGACGGACCGCACGCTTGGACTCGTCCTATCCTCTTGGCTCAAGGCAGTCGTGAGTGCTCATCTAGTGCCCTGCCCAGCACTTCGGTCACTGGCAGTATCAAGCCAGTC